CAGACTTTTAAAGTGAAGCAGCAGGCAAATCCCATCAAGTTACAGTCTGGTTATTAGCACATGGAGAACTGTTTTATCCAATAACTTAATTGTAGAAATGACAACTCTCAGAAAGTGAAAGATCCTTATAGTTTTAAACTTATATAATCACTGCTGTGGGAGAATATGCTGCCAAAATTTTCTTGGTAAAATATTTTGGTGCACTGGTAACCAAAGGAAATAAAATTTATTTTTGCCACTATTGTAGCATGCCTGGTATTAATTAGTAGCATATTGTGAATAGTCAAAGCAAATGAATGGATACAATGAGTTTTACAGCTAGCCTTACAGCAGGGAGAGCGATGCATGCACTGAGGAGTTATGGGTAGCAAGAAAATGAGATTGTCCTGCTGATTGGATGTAAAAAAAGCAATGAGCAATTCAAGTGCTCCCAGTCAAACAAACTGCTTGTGGCACTAGTACTTGTACCCAATTACTGATTCAGAGAGAAAATAAAAAGCCGTTTCAGTAGAGTCAGGGTGGGAAATCTCCAATTAGCACCAATTAGCGAAGTTGCTTCCTATAGCAGAATTCTGGGGACACAAGGAAAAAAAATCTCCCAGAATGCCTATTGAAGCATTTATTTACCAGGTGAAGGGACTCCCAAAGAATAACTTGATGAGAATTTGTGCCTGTGGGACTTGAATACAGATACTATTTGAAACTTGCCTGCTCGATTTGACTGGTCAATCATAGGCTGTACTATTCTTCTTCTGGCATTAATAAACCTGAAACAAAACACAAAGTATAGAAGTCTATTTGTTCACTGAGTGTTTATTTAAAAAAAAAAAAAAAAGATTAGAACGCTTTAAAAAGCTGAAGAACAGCAGTGCAGAGGAACAAAAAAAAAAAGAAGAAGAAGAAGAAGACTATCATATAACTTGCCAGGAGATTTTGAAGCATTTTTTTTAAAGTGCAATAGAATACTCAACTTCCACCACAAAATTATTCAATCAGCCAGATTGAATAATTTTGCCAGATTCAATCCACAAAATTATTCAATCAGCCAGAAATCTGGCTAAGACTGCAGAAGACTTATTTATTTTTCAGCCCTAGCAATTCAGCCACCATTGCAGCTGTCCATAAATGAGGACCAGACTTTACTGTTCTGTGCTTTCACAAGGTATTGTTAGGTCAGCAAAGCCATCAATTAGGCTGTCTGAAGTTTTATCACCAATGCAGGCAGCAGTAAGAGCAGGCAGAAGCCCGGCTCTTCTGCCACTCCTGCAGTTTCAGTCAGTAAAGTCAAGGGTCATTTGGAGGTCAGTGCCAGCTGGGGGCAATCTTTCCAGCAAGGGTTGGGCACCCGGGGCAGAGAGCACAGGGCATCTTCCAACCATAAACTCGAGCACCTTTCAACTTGACAGAAAGAGGGAGTTGCAGGTACATGTGTTTAATATTAATCCTGAAATAACTTCTTCTCCAATCAGGTACCATAACTAAAGCAGCACTGAAATCATCTGAACATCAGGCAAACCCATTATTTAGAAAGGGAAGTCTGGATTTAATTTTGTGGATAATTCAAAAATAAATGCTTGCATATTTCCCCATTAAATTAATGCATAACAACCCACATCAGTTAATCTTGGTTCAAGTTAACCCTGAGACAATGATTCTTCACTTCAAAAAATGAATTGAGTAGGTTACTTAATGTCATTATTTGCAAGGTACATTTATTTTACTTTCTATTGTTTTCTGTATTTTCTTTGCCTTTTACAGCACTTTAATAGTGATGTTCAACAGATTTTTCTCCTCAAGAAAAGGAACACAGGCCCCAGTACTGCCAGTTTATTTTGACACTTATAAAAATATGTTCTACAAGTAAGTAAAAACTAAGTAACTAAAGAAATAAGAATTTCCTAGCTTCTTCATCCAATATCCATTTGTACGTTTTTTGGTTTAAGATGTGCTCCTTCAGTGGTTTGTGGGATAGGCCTACCAGATCTGGACTGCAAAACTCAGGATGATCACCAGATGGCATCTATAGAGTTTGGCAGCCCTGATCTGACAGCCACATTTTATATGCCACAAGAGATGCCATTCTGGAGGATTTCCAATATCACCATTTTATAAATACAAAAGTGAGATAGAGTTTTAACCTGTATGCCTGAGAGCCAATTTGGTGCAGTGGTTAAAACACCAGGATAGAAACTTGGAGACTGTGAGTTCTAGTCTCACTTTAGATACAAAGACAAAAGAACAACCTTGGGCCAGCTATTCTCTCTCAGCCCTAAGAAAAAGATAATGGTAAGCTATTGCAAACACCTTGCCAAGAAAGTTGCAGGGACTAGTCAACATTGACTCAAAAGGACCAAAAAAATAAAGCATCTCTAGCATTGGACAAAGTAAAAAGATGATGATGAATCTAAACCCCAAAATATTTTTTTCTTAAACAACTCTAAACAAAATATGATTATACCATATAGCTTCTCACTGCTATGTTACATTAACAGTTATAATTATGTGATATCTTAGAAAAAGCTGCACCCCAGACCTTAGGATTGTTTCACATAGCCCTGTATCCTCTGGCAGTAAAATCCTACCCTTAAAGATACTGAGAATCAGCTGACTGAGACATTGCCTCACTCTGTGTAATGGAAGGTCTAGCGTTAGTATTTTAAGCTTCATCCAGTATTAGAAATGCAAATAAGCATGAACTTTAGGGACTGTGTAACCGACTTGTGAATACTAAACATGTCCATTGTCTAACAGACCTTTGATAAGAATTAGTGCATACCACACACAAGTTTACAAAAATGTTCAACAAGCTTTAAATAAGGCCAGCATTTAATACAGATAAACTCATTTATCAAATCAGTCTGCTTTAACATTAAGCACTTGGACTGCAAATACCACATTTCTTCCACCATTTCAAATCCACCTTCCTGCAATATATGTAGCATATATTAAACATTAATATAAGTGCACACTCCCATAAACACAGTCATTTATTATATACCAAAATATATTAATATACAATATTAAAGGGCCTTCATTGGCCCCACTCTCAAGGTCTCCAAGTGAAGCAGATCTGTTTCCATTCCAAACTTTCTGCAGCCAAGCTTGAAGAGGGCTTCTATCTTGCTTGAATGAAAACAGAACTATTAGATAATTAGGAGCATTGATAAAGCAAGGATTTATCTAACTGCATGTCTGCCCTATTGTCAGAATGGGTCAGCAAACATTTCTAGAGGGATGCTGCCCTCTATTAATCCCACACTCATCATCAAAGGGACCTCAGGGCACTTTTTTCTGCTCCACTTCTGAAGTATACTTTTTCATGCTATATCACCTTGAGTGTTCCTGTCCGTTTGGGATAAAGCACTTCAATTTCTTACAAGCTAACACCTGGAATTCATTAGCTACTTCACCGAGGCAGGGATGCTCTTCAAATTAGTCAGTGCTTACTATAATCTCCAACATCCTTCAGATCTACCTTTACAATTGCTGTAGTAGTACAATGGCTATTACATTTGTTTTCTAAGTAGGAGGTTGCTAGTTTGAAATCCAGCTTTTTTATATATTATTGCTCCCCAAGCTTCCAATTTGTTCTCTCTCTCTTTTCTTTTAAATATCTAGTGGTGCATGTTTTCATCAATTTTCTATTTAAATGAAGTAAAAGGGTTTCACACCACTCCCAAATAGCTCTTAGATTATTTGGGCTCTTTAGGAATTGAGGGTGATAATTTTCTATTTTGAATTATTAAAAAGATTTTGAAATGATACACTGCTTAACTTATTTTTTTAAAAAAAAGCATAGGTAACAATATAAACTCAGGGAAGGAAAAAATGCGAATTCTACATATTTCTGCTTGGGTGTGAACCAAAACACTTTTATTTTCCAGGCAAGGGTTTTAACCATTATTATAACACTGTTGGTATACAGTTCCCCTAAAAGATAAGAGAAAGGAAAAGGGCAGTAATAATTTTGTTGTTGTTGGGTATTTTGATATTTCATCTTGGTATATATAACTTCTATTTAACTTTTGTTAGGTATGTATGCGTATATCTACATATTATATATGTAGATATACAAACACGCATGTAAAAGAATCGGTCTATCTCTACCCATGGAAAGGAAAATGAGGGCAATTGCTTTCCTGAAATAGAAAGTAGAACTATCCATGGAAGGATGTGGTAGCCTACTGTCTGGACTGAATACCTTGGAAGTTGTTGCCAAAGTGTCTCAGTCAGGACAGGATTTTCTTAGGATGGTTTATAGACAAGCTGGAAGGAGCACAGGACAGGAGCAGCTTTAAGTCTGGGTATGCCTTAAGATTTCCAATCATAATTAAGAGTTATACCCATATTCAAGTTTATGGAAGCAGAATTCCCCTTCAGCCTTGTTGTTCAATCTAGAAGGAACATGAACAGAAAAACTGAGTCAGGGCAGTGCATACAACTCTACCTCTTGGTCGATGAAGATTCTCAGTCATCAGGTAGCCTTGTCTGGAAGTTGAGTCATGGCACATGGACTTCTTTCTTTTTGATTCAAAACATTTTGCTGCTTATCTAAGACTGAAGAAGCTACTTGGATAAGCAGTGAAGTCCAGTTGCCATGACTCAATTTTCAGACACCTCTTCTATGTGTTTGTATATGCCAGCTGGGACATGATATGGAAAAGGTAAACATCCTCTACCTCAACTGTGGTGGTGGGGAAATTATTTATAATTAGTCAAAAGACAATTTTCCATGAATAAAGTCTGCTTTTATAGTTCATTTTTATAGAGAATAATTTCCGCCAATCTAGTTAAACAAAATATTCTGACTTCCATATTTCTATATTCCTTCAAGACAAAAATCTTTGCTAGTATTTTCCTTAGCTCCTTTGCCACACTGACCAAACTGAAATTGACCTGAGCTTCTGCATCCAGCATGCCTTTTATCAGCTGAACTTAATGCCAAAAGAGATTAGCAGAAAAGCCTGATAAGACTGTTTTCTTTTCAATGAGCTTTTAATGATGTATGCAGATGGCAAGGTTTACAGAACTGAAGAAGCACATACTGTACTGGGACTGGTAACACACAACAGATTCTCCTCTACTTTAGAGCCTTGCTGACCTTTGCTTCTTCAACTTTCATTCATAAGGCAATTCATAAGGTAAATTAAACTTTTTTTCCAGTTTTTATTTCATTTCCAACCACTTTTTATTATTTACATCTGGTGATCCTCTTGTTTATGTCCCCTTCCACTTCCTTGCAACTCTCTCTTACTCACAGAACTGCAATGCATTATGGTTCTTCATTCTCAGTAGGAGAACACGACTCTGTCTTCAAACAAATAATTAAGGGGAAGGTTAAAGGAGGTCACAGAGAGGTCATATCTTTAGAAACTGGTCAGAGTGTATACATTAATTTAAAAAGAAGCCAACCTCCCAAGTTTCTTTCTCTCCCCCCCCCTTAAAAAAGGGGCATTTACACAATACAGAACATTCAGGCAATTCATAATCCTTTCACCAAAGAGATACAGAACAGGCTTTTATGAACATTTACAATTAATAAACCTATTCTCACTTTAATATTAACAAATGGAACAGGTCATGGTGAAATGAAAATTAAGGGAAAGTTTCTGGATCTAGTTAAAGCATGTGTACCTAACACACATAAGATCTGTATATACTAGAATGTATCAAGTGATTTGTCCATAAGCTTAGAAATCTAGCACAAGATATATCTGTGTGTGAGCTGTTAATTGATTCCTCAGATATTTTGTGAGGAAACAGTAGA